GACCCGGGATGCCGGATGCTCCGGGGGAAGCGCGGTTAGGGAGACGCCTTGTGTCTTGGGGAGTTGCGTGTGTGGAGGCGGTGGTGATGGTGTACATTTTGGCTGGCGTTCTTAGCAGAGGCACAAAGGCCAGTATATTTCCTGCAGATCCCTTGGAAAATGAAGCTGGGGCCGCAGAGAAGAGGAGGGGCCCTGCGAGGGCGGGAGGTGGCCGCCGCTGGTCGGGGGCCGGGGCCAGGCGAGTTGGGAACGTGAGACATCTCGGGCCATCTCCGCGGGCGGGGCTGCTGAAGTTGCGCTGCTTGGAAGGAACCCGGGCGGGGGCGCTGTGTGCCTTGGGTGGGGAGGGTTGGGGTGGCGACTAGGGTTTCAGGGGTATCAGCAGATAAGATGACCATGGCTTTGCCAGGCCTGAAGGAAACCCCTCCGTGTTGTTTTGATGTTGAGAGGGGAAGAATGTGAAGAGTGGCCTATCTATCCTCCAGCTTTGATGGACAGCTGTGGTGTAAACATCCTTTTGTGCTTGGGTGGACATTACTCATTTAGGATACATTTTACAGAATAAATAACACCTGATCTGAAAAACGAACCAGGGGATGGTTTGGTGCAGGTGTTTATAATGAACTTTTTTTTTCTTTTAAGGTTGAATCATCTACATTTGTAATATATGCATTTAGTGCCTGGTAGAATTTAAGTAAACAGTTGTATTTAAAAACCCTGAAGTTCCTTGGCTTGAACTTCTAATGCAATGCAGAGAGCTCTGGATGGATGCACCTGTGCCTCGCCTGAGGGAGGGGTGGGGAGGGCGTAATCTTGCCTGGGATGCCTAGATATGCTGCTCCTTAATGGAGTACTGTATAGATTGGGCTCTATTCCTGCTCAGACTTCACATTAGGTTCAAACAAAACAAGCAGAGGGTCTGTAGATTTAAGGGCCATAGGCCAAATTGACCTGCTGCAGTGGTTTTTGTCTCTAAGGTTTAGGAGCTAGGGATGGTTTGTACATTTTTAAGTGGTTGAAAGACAAAATCAAAAGACTGTTTCTCATGTGAAAATTATATGAAAATCAAATGTGTGTCCATATTTAAGTTTGGTTGGAGCACAGCCACACTTAATCCTGTTGTCAGTGTCTCATTCTTGCTGTGCATGGCTGCTTTCACAGATAATGGCAGAGTTGAGTTGCATAGCTGAGACAGAGGTGTATACCCTTCAAAGTCTGAAATATTTACTATGTTGCTCTGTAAGGAAAAAATATTGCTTAAATACACCCTTTTGTGATAGGTGCATTGTTTATTTTTATTGCCTTTCAGGCCCTGTTTCTGGTGCCCCTTGAACTGGCAGACTTCCCCCCTCCATAATTCAACTAATTATAAATCAGTGTGTTGGTCCAAGTTTCATTCTCAACTTTTTGGTATCTTTCTCTGTTGGAATCTAGGATAAACTGGAGTTTCTGATGAGCAGAAATTGTGTGTTTACATATTTTAACTTTAATATAGATGGCTATATTTCAAGGCTTTCTGCAATGGGTTCTAGTAACTTCTAGCTGTTCTGTTACCTGAGTAGGTTTGAGGACTATAGTTTTATTTATTTAGGTAAAGAGAACAAGGGGTTAGAGCATGTCATGGGTTCTTTTCAGAGGGCAAGGCAAAGCTAGTGTGAACTCTTCCCTACTCCTCTTTTCTACCTCACTTGCTAAAACTAACAAAAAACTGATAAAATTTATCTCCAACATATTAATAATAGGTCAATCATATGGGTACCATACCTCTTAGTTGTGTTCCTTTTCTTTCCTTGGCTTTTTCAGTATTTCTTCTCCTCTCTTTTTGTTTCTGGTTTTTCTTCTCTCCTTAATACATATCTTCCTTTTATTTCCTAGGTCTGACTGTTGTGGCTTGGGAGAAGAGATGTGTCAGTCAATTTTTATTGTGCCCCAAATTCCTATCATGTAGAAATTGCTCTGTTTGGCCCTTAAAGATGTCTTTTCATTTTAGATACTTTTTAACTGCACATATACTGTGAGGGAGTAGAGGCCTTTTCCAGAGTTTATTATAGCTCAGCACGGTGGGTGTGCTCAGGCCACATTCATGGGAATCCTTGAAGTGTAATTTTGTCTTGATGCAGGACTTTAGTCTTTAGTTGCTGGCGGGGAGGCTGTGCTTTACAAATAAAGAAGTGAGCCCATTGTCTAGAGTTAAGATTAAGGGATTTAGAAGCTGGCATGTGAAAATGAATGTACCTGGAAGATAACTGTCTGAGTTAAAGGCAGATTATGCTCTCCAGATTACATCCCAAGTCTGACATCATAGACTTGACTCCTTTAGGTTGACTTGCAGGTTGGCTCCATTTTGTATATTTATAATATGCACAAAGAACTCTGTGACTTTCATAAAATATCTTGAGCCCATAACAGAGTTCTTAAAGTTGATGTGTTGGACTGGAAATGTCCCCGTATATGCTGGAGCAAACAACACATATGCCAGTGACAGGTCCTGTACTTTAAAGAAGCAGAGAGCTTCCCATAGATTCAGAACTGCTTGATGGTGCCTGTGAATGACTGTATCTTATATCATGACTAGAGGCCCAGTGCATGAAAATTCCTGTACTCGGGGGTGAGAGGGGTGGGGGGCGTTCCTCAGCCCAGCCCGTGCCCTCTCGCAGTCCAGGAGCCCTTGGGGGATGTCCAATTGACGGTTTAGGCCGGTCCCCCATGGGGCCTAAGCCGCAGTCTGGCCTCCCTTTTCGGGAGGCGACTGGTGAGCAGATCGGGGGACAGCGCTGGTGGCAAGCGGCTGGCCCTGCCCCCCATCACCCCTCTACCGCCAGTCGCCACCACCCACTGATCGCTGCCCACCGATCGCCATCCCCTCCCTCTGCCCACTGGCAGGTGCCTTGGCTGGCCTGGCACCGCCCGCTCGCCAGCCTCCGCCTCCCACCGAACGGTCATTCCGCTGTTCGGTCAATTTGCATAGTAGGCTTTTATTATATAGGATTTTATTTCCCAATCAGTTATATCTGCTTGAAAAACACATTTTGCCTAAAGTAGGCATTAGTTTGATATAGTTACATTGTCACATACATTATTAACCCCATACTTACCAGAAGAAAGGCATTATTTTGTCTCTTGTAAACTAGTGTCATTCATAGGAGAGCATCCATATAAATACAGATGGGAAATTATATTTAGTATGGTAAAGTTGGTATACTGTGATTAAATAATTATAGTGAAGTTCCACATGGGCAAGTAAGAATGAGATGAAAAACTACTTCTAGATAAAGGAAACTGATGTTAAGTAATCCATTGCCTTCCTGTGAAATATTTCCCATGAAGGTCCGAGGTAGTTACTCATTTAGTAGGCAGTAATAGATGGAATCGGAGGCATATTGTCTTGGGCTAGACACTAGGGAGAACACGAAATCAATATACTGCTATAGTTTATGATCTTAATTGGAAAAATACACACACAGAGAAAAGAATAAAAGGTTCTATGTTTAATAAAAGTTACAGGGATTCAAATAAATTAGACATAGGATTGCTTGCTGACTACTTGTAGATGACCACCTTCTCCCTTGTCGTCACATGGGCTCCCATCTGTGAATGCCTGTGTCCTAATCTCTTAAGAGGACACCAGTCATACTGGGTTAGGGACCACCCCAGTGACCTCATTTAACCTTTCTTCTTTAAAGACCCTGTCTCCAAATACGGTCATATTCTGAGGTACTGGTTAGGATTTCAACATACAAATTTGGGGACATAGGTCTCCCAGAAAAGAGTTCTTAAAGAGACTGCAAGGCTCTCATAGACTAGGCTGTATACTGGTGAGAGCGTGAAGAATGGACTGGTTCAGGGTAAGGAAGGGGGGTCCTGTGGGGGCTGTTGTGGTAGTATAACTAAGTATTATTGTGTAATTTGATGTTTGTGAATAAAGGAAACTGCTATTTGAGGACAAGGTATTTTAGCTTTGGCCTGAGGCCACTTGTTTTCTTTATCCTGGTGTTTACTGGGAAATTGGCATTCGTTTTTGTACATGGAGCCTTCATTTTCTTTTTAAATGTGTCATAAAATATTTTCATAATAGTTTTGGAGTCTGATTAAGCAGCATTTTTTTATTCTTTAAATTACCTTCATCTAAAAACTATGTATATATCCTGTGCATATTTTGTGGGCAAATATTTGGCATAATCTTTTTCCCCCCAGAAATCTTCGCATTTCAGAAAGATAAAAGATTTTAAAAGTAATAATATGTTTGCTGTATCACAAAATAATGAAAATGTTTTTAAGTGTTGAAATTATAATTATTTATAATGTTAAAGCAATTCTTTAGACTAGAGAACTGTTAAAGCAATTCCTCCAAATTTGGCCAGCTGAGTTTAAAAAAAAAAAGGTAAAAGGAGACTTAAAGTTCTTGCTTTTTTTTTTTTTTTTTTTTTCTGCCTGTGGTGGTGAAATTTGTTTGGTCTAGGGAATACATATTTTTATCTTCCTTTTAGCTTGATTTATATCTGTGA